AAAAGGGTTGTAAAACACTGGGACAGGCTGCCCAGGGCAGTGGTGGAGTCGCCATCCCTGGAAGGGAGGTGGATGTGGCACCTGGGGATGTGGTTTAGGGGTGAATGTGGCAGTGCTGGGGAATGGTTGGACTCGAAGGTCTGGAAGGTCTTTTCCAATCTGAACAATTTTATTAGTGTCATTTTAAGTGAACCCAGAAGCAAGTGGCTGTCAGGGGAAGTCTGGAACTCCCTGCCCTACTCGTAAGTGAAGCCAGACTGAACCTCTCCTGGGCACAGGCCACGTCTGAAGCCCTGACTCACAAGCACAGCCCCTTGTGCTGCCCCTTGTTCACCACAGAGCTACCCAAACACTCCTGCTTTGCTGCTCTCTGGAGCCCAGCTTTGGGGGGTTTGTTCCAAAGCTGCCCTTCCTCCCACCAAGGATCAAACACACATTCAAAGAGTTTGGTCAGATGGGATTTTCCTCTCAGAATTTATTGCCAATAAGGAGATATTTTCTTGAGGAGGGCAGACCTGCACTTCTCCTGCTTCCTCCCTCTTGTACCTGCTGCAGTTCTGGTAACTCATCAGCCCCCAAACTACACAGCCACAGCTCCCTGCAGATTCTCTGTATTTACTGCACAAAATAGGGAAGAGCTGATGGAAATGGAGAAGTTAAACTCAGACCCTCAGCGCTTCCTGTTCATAAGATTCCTAAAACTGGTTTGCTGACGGAGCAGTGGGATTTACACAGCCCCAAAGAGGCACTGGGCGGGATTCCTGGGGTTGTCCTGTGCAAGGCCAGGAGCTGAGACTCGATGCCCCTTGTGGGTCCCTTCCAACCCAAGAGGTTCTGTGATTTCGGGTGCCCTCCTTACAGAAACCTCCCTTGCAGAGCTTGCCTGGCAGCTTTTCCCCCACTCACCAAGGTAAACGTCATGCCCATGACAATTGGCACGAAGATGAAGTTGAAGGTGGTGATCTGCAGCAGGCAGCAATCCTGATCCGGGTTTGTGTGCACTTCCTCATACTGGATGGGGGGCTGGAGACCTTTGCAACACTTGCTCTTCAATTTGGGGGACTTGGAAAGAAAGAGGCACTGATTTAGCTAAGCAGGTTCTCACCACCTCCCCATGTGTTTTGGGCAAAAACAACAAGAAGCTTTCGCTCAGGAGAGGCAGGACCATTTCTTTAGAGGGGAAAGTTGCAGAACTCCCAAGGCTGCCTGAAACTACTGGCTTCTCCCAAGACCCATTGCTGGAGGTTTTCCCTTGCTTTACTCCTCTGAGAAATCTTTGAGATGTAAAACAAGTTTCAGGTTTTTGGTCAACATTTTGACCAGTACAGTCAAAGAGCTGGGTTTGAGCAGTAATCAGACCCAAAGATGAGATTATCTGGGGTAACAAATGATCCACATCAGAAGGGATTCCAAAGGAGGTATCCCACAAAGAATGTGGGATTCTAAATGTCTTGGCAACATAGACAGAAAACTGAGTGTAGTTTCAGAATGTACTTTAGTTTACCATGGGAATCAGAGTTTCTATTTATTGTCGGAAGGCATAAAAAGTTTCCACCTTCCCTTTTACCACTCAGAAAAATCATTTCTGCTTCAAACAAAAGTCACTGCCAATCTGGTTCTTCTTTCATACCTGCTTTTTGAACTTGAAGTTGAATTCCCACATTGCTTCTTGTCTGTTCCCTACAATCTTTTTGCACCAGAAAAGCAGACACTGAGGTGGAAAAAAAGAAACACATAAAATTATGAAACCCTTAGAGGCACCACTTTAAATAAGTTTTAGCAGAGCATAAAGGCTTCCAATTACAAACACAATTATATAAGAACAATTAGGAGCCATTTATTCAAATTAATTATGTTCAAAGAACCCTCTCAGCAGTTTAGATCTCCCAGTTTCAAGTTGGCCAACTCCTCATGCAGGGAGGTTGGTAGCCCACTGATGTGCCAAACAGAACAATCCAGTTGTGCCGTTTATCCCTTTCCTAAGGCAGGGGATGAGTGGTGCAGATTCACCCATTCCCTCCACCCACCAGGAACTCCCATTAAACTGGGCTCCAAACAAGATTAAAGCCAGGAACAACTGAAAACAAAGTAAGGATCAAGAAGGATCCAAAGGGAAATGCAAAGCTCAGGACATGAGCTGTGAGGTGATGGATGAGAAAGTTCTGAAGCCACTGTGGTGTCAAACCTTGACATCACCAGGCACTGCCTGTCATTGCTCAGACACAAAACCATGCCAGGACAGCACAGCCTGACCAACCTCAAAGAAGAGAACAGCCTCCAGCAGCCTCAGAGGTCACCAGCACTGCCCTCCCCCACACACACACCCCAGAGTCCTCCACTTCCCCTGGTTATCACTGGGTGGGACACAGGCTCCATCCCAGCACTCAGCACTCGCAGCCTCAGCAGAACTGCTGCATGGAACTGGGAGGGAGGGACATTCCCTGCCTAGCAGTCAGCAGAAGCAACCAGCATTCAACAGCCAAGGGAAGAACCTGGCAAGTGAGTCCAGCCACCCCTCAAAGTGTTTCCACATGACAGATGCCAGCCCAGCACAGCTGGTCTGATCTTTCACCAGTTCAGCAGGAAAAAAAGGAACAGTGTGGGTGAAGAGAACTCCCTGTGATCCACCTACAGTCTCTCCTGAAGAGAGAAGGCCTGACTAGGCTGTGGGGCACAGCACACATTTGATTTCACTCCAGGATAGAGTGACCCCAATGAAACAAAGCCAGAGCCAGCCCACACCACAGGGGCTCAAAAATTAAAACTACAGCTGATACAAGACCCTCTACTTCAACTCTGAGTCATGTCCATAAAAAAGAGTCCTTAAAGGACCCGTATCTCCACAACCTTCAGGAGGTGAACAACAAAGCCACATGGAGTCAAGCTCAGAAACAAGCAGGGAGGAAGCAGCCCTCGGGTTTTTTGCACAATAAAAACCTTCTCCAGATCTTTTTGAACTCAGGTGAGCAGAGGATGCTGCTGAGTTTAACTCCACCACCAGTGGCATTTTGTGGTTCACCTGCAGAGATAGCCTGGTCTAGAGCAGCTTGTTTGGTCATGGCAAGTAGTGAAGCACAAAACATCAGTACCTCCTAAGGGGCAGAGGATGTCGTCCTCGGGTCAGCCGTCCTGCCCTTCAGACGCGCCGTGCTCCGCCAAAAATTAGGGGGTGTCTTTAAAGGGCAAACACCTCTGCTGACACCATAACGGCTCCAGTGTCCCACACAAGCTAGGCTAGGGAAAGAAAAAAGGAAATTAAAGAGGAAAAGCTGGATTGGATTGGACAATACCCGGCTCTGGGCTCTCCTCTTGCCACATGCACTTTTGGGAGGTGTCGCCGTTAGTTTAACGACCCATGAAAGGCACAGCCAAAGCCCAGGAAAGCCAGAACATGGGGAGGCAGTGCCAGAGCCTCCTCCAAACCCTCTGTGCCGAGGAATTTCTGTGCAGTCACACAGGTGGAGCTCAGAGTCCTGCAATGCAGTGGCACAGCACGACCAGACTTAGGACAGCTCTTTCAGCTCCAAGGGGTGAGGTCAAGCCTCTGCTGCTCTGACAAAGCCTCGGCACCACTTAATTTCCTTTTTTAGAAGTTGAAAAGACTGCACTTAACAGAGCTTCCTTAAACCATTAGTGCAGGAGAAGCACTAGCAGTGGGCACCAAAGCCGTTATGATGTCAAGGTGAATCCTTCCAAAATGGCCTGCCAGCATCAACTCAGGGTTCCCAGCTCTGACAGCCACTGCAGACCCAAGCAGTGGGAGGAAGGCGTTCTCAGGGCTACAGTTAAGTTGGAATTTCCTTGAAATGTTTTTCTTTTTTAATCTTTGAGAAATGATGATCCCCAGCATGGGGACTTAGGATGAGAATGAAGAGCTCTGGATGCAGAGCTTAAGACTGCACACAGATCCGTGTGTGCTTTTCCCTGTGCTGCAGCACCACCTACCTGTGTGCTGCTGGATGCTCCTAAAGCCTGGGACAGCCTTCCCAGTCCCCACCAGGGAGAGGAAGGAAGGAAGAAAGGGAGGATGTCACGCAAGGGTAGATGAGGTTGCTCTATTTTGAATGGAAAAGAAAGTACAACCCCTGAACCAAACCCAACTTCATTTTGGCACCAAAAACCTCATTCAACAGGTTTTTGACCTTGGATTTGGAGGGTGGAGAATTCACATTGTTGTTTAAGCTGCTCACAGAGTATCAGCCAGTTGCAAGTTAAAACTAAACCAGAGACACAGAGGCATTTCAGAGTTAATGGTCAACAGCAATTAAACAGAAATGGTGCAAGTGCTCCAAGCTGGGACAGCACAGGGAATTGCCTGCCCACACCAGAGGCAAACCCTTTCCAGCCCAGCAATACAAGCGCAGCCCAAGGCCCAAAGCAGACACTGGCTCTGCACATTTGCCATGCTCACCACCCTCCCCCACCCAGACACTTGACCATGGATGACCTACAGGAAAACAGCATGACATGACTCCTGGCTATCAGTGTCACTCCTGAGCTCTCCAGATGCCTATTACAGAGAAAAGATGCACTCTGGCAGACAATTGTCAGAATAAAGCGCCAAGTATGAAAGCTGGTCCTATGGAGCCTCCTGCCAGAGAAGGGGAGAGCTGCAAACACCCCTGGCAGTTCTGACTCCCAGTGAAGCAAGTGCTCTTTTGCTGCCTACAAAGGTGTGTGGGTAGGACTCAGGCAGAAGTTACTCCAAAGAGTAACTCTACAGACACAAGTAACCAGCATCCTTTCACAAACCCCTCCTCCGTGTCAGGGATCATCCCACACCCAAGTCCGTGCTCATCCTGCACCCAAGCTTTGCTGGTGACCGTCTAAACACCATCTAGAAAGAGAAAAACCAAACCAAACCAAACAGAAAGCAACACCTCAGACTTCCTTAGCGACCTCACTTACTCTGGAATTTTTTAAAGTGCTGGGAGTACTGTCTGGAATAGCTGGATTCCTGGAGACTCGGGAGGCGAAGGGCTCGTACATGTGGTAGAGCGAGCGGATGACGCAGGCCCGCAGGCAGTGCAGCTTCTCCATGGACTCGGGGCGTAGGCGCAGTGGCAGGTATGCGTCCAGACTGTAGTGCCTGAGGGGACAGGACACACCCAGCGTCAGCTGGAGGGTCACACACCACCAGAGACGTGCAGAGACAGCCACATCCGGAGAAAACTGAACATCTGACCGAGCACAGAACCTCTGGTCGACGCCCTGAGGGACTGGAGGGTGTTGTGGTGCTCTATGCACATGAGGTGCCGCCTCAGAGGCTCGACCTGCACCACAAAGGTTTCCAGCACATGTATCTCAGCTTGAATATTGGGGCAGTTTGGGGCAATATAAGGGAGATATTCAGCTCTTTGGGAGTGTCCAAAGGAGGGCAATGAAGATGGAGAAGGGCCTTGAGGGGAAGCTGTGTGAGAACACTGAGGGCACTTGGTGTGTTGAGCTGGAGCAGAGGAGACTGAGGGGAGACCTCCCTGCAGTTCCAACTGCCTGGGCAGGGGCAGAGGAGGGGCAGGAC